CCACACATTTTTAACATTTTATAATACAACCAGAGGATATTTAACATTATTCATAATCCTTGTTTTCCACTTCTCCTTGGTTCAGTTTTATTTTTTTTTTAGAGGGTGAAAATAATCAGTAAGGGAGGGGAGAAAAAAAAAAGTGGTTGATGTTTCTCCTCAAACATGTGACCCCCACTTGGCTCACAGCTGAAAATAATTTTGGCCTACAGGCCGGTAAATGCTTGACGCAAGCCTTCCTTCTCCTTTTTCTTCCCTCCAGGGGGGGAAAGGCCTTGGACTTACAGGGAAAAGATAAAATTAATGAATAACCTGAGCTGTGTGGAATAATACAAGGTAAAATATGGTAACTGAATCAGAACTGGTGAAAACCCCTTCCTTAAATTCCTCCTGCTCATTTTATAATAATAGAAGTGAAAACCTGATCCAAAACTCAAACCTTCATTTGTGTCCAATTTTCCCCAACAAGGACGACAGTCAGTGGAATTAGGGCCACATTTCCTAAATAGTTAAGAGAGCAGAGAGGAGAGGAGTCTAATGGAGTCTAATAGTCTGATGCAGGTTTATAGAAAGAAAGACAGAGAGGGGGATCTAGACCAGGCAGTGCTCAGGAAATGTTTAACAGCCTGCAAATACCCTGCAAAGTATCGCAGCACATCTGGAAAAAGTCACACACATAAAAATTATTTTTTGGACTGGCATATGTATTCTTGGCAGGCTGTGTGGGGCTGCAATGCAAACATGTAGGCCTGGTTTAAATTTTCTAAAAGATTACCGCAGAGTCAATTCTTAAATACTACATAGTTCTTGGGGTTGTCCTTTGATTCCGGAGGACTTGGTTCATTCCAGGTTTTTCTAAGAACAAATCAATTCCACTGTCTTTTTTATCTTAGGTTTTGCTCATTTTGGAATTAATTCAAGTTCACCTGAAATCATTACATCCTGACAAATAAAACCCAGTAATAGTTTCGAACTTTTTATAGTTTGTCTGCTTTCTGCTGCTTCCACAACAAAAATCCAAAATTAAATCAAAAGCTGGAAAACATAAGTTATATTAGGGAAACTGTTAAGAAATGTGTTTTCATATGTTTATTCAGAAATCAAACATGGTTAACTACAACATACTGAAACACACTAGGTAGTAGGACCAAAGGTGCCGCTCCCCATACCACTAATGTTTTTGTATTTCTATTTCATTAAACTGACATCCCTATTTTTAGGAGGATTTTCTAACATTTTAATTATAGCTTTAATGTGTTTTATTCTATGTCAAGACAACATAGCCTGTAAGGGGAATGATGCATAAATAAATCTGTAAGGCATGGTGTCTGTTTTGACTCCGCTTTAACTTTGCCTCTAAATAAAAACCAATACAACCAACTGCCTTCAAAAGTCAACTAATTAGTAAATTATGTCAAACGTAGGAACTATTATCTCTCCATTTGACAAATACACTTTGGTTTGGTTTCTCATAAAAAATAAAGATACAAAACACCTGTAAGATACAGCTGGTCACTATCTGCTGAATAGACAAACCAAATGTCATTTACTTTTTGTTGTTTTATTAAATAACCTTCTTCTTCATATAGATCATTAACACTGACTGACTGCTTCTATCTACTGTCTGTGCAGGATGCCAGCTGTTAGCACCATGACCGGTGGAAGGGCCCTGCTGCTCTGTACAAACACTGACAACTGCATTTACCAATCAGTCAACGGGTAAGTCCTTCAACATCTAAGAATCAGCTGATCATGCTTACAAGCATGCATGCTCCAATTCAGAGATATTACACTCAATTTATTGGATAAAATCATTTAAAATTTACCCTGATGAAAAAAGCCTGCAAAGGAGAAATTTGTTAGGCTCAGAACAAAAGGACTCAGTATTCAAGGCGAAAAGACGGATATAACAAAACATTTATTTAAGATGGAATTGCATAGAACACCGTTAGCATCCAAGGCAGGAACCCCTGCAGGAGGAGAACACAGGTTAGTGACCACGTCTATTAAGTGGAGGATGATAATGAACGTGTGAGTCAATAATCTGGTCTTATATTTCAGTCCGTGCCGGTAGGCTGGCAATGATACGTGACGGGTCCCTCCCAGACAGTCCCAGGCGCTGTTCTCTTGGAGGTCGGGGGACAGGCAGGAGATCAGAACTGAGCAGACGAAGGAAGGCAGGATAATCCAGAGGGCAAAGACAAAACCGGTGTCAAAGACGTGCTTGTTAGTCAGGGCCAGGAGATTAGAGGTCCGAAGAGGTGCAGTAGGGAAATCCAGAATGGAGTTGAGAAATAAGTCCAGGTTTTGTAAACAGGCAGGCAGAAATCCAGCAAGAGTCCAAGGACAGGCCAGGCAAACGGATCAGAACGGGGACAGGCAGGCTCAGAGGTTCAAAGACAGAACAGGTCAGGATTAGGCAATCAGAGCACACAGGTACGCTAGAGAACTCTCACCAAAGGCTCAAATAAAGCTTTGAATCAATCTGACTATATGATATGTTGAACGGTAAAGAGCCTTGAGATGACATGTGTTGTGATATTGCGCAATTTAAATAAACTGAATTAAATAATCTGGCACTGAGCAGGTGGATCAGATGAACGGTGATGAGAACTGGGTGGAGATAGGCAGGTGAATTAAATTAGTAATCAGACCAGTCATAAGAGCCAAGATCATGACAAATTTATGTTTTGTTAATACCTTGAACCTTCTGGAAGGAGCTTTATGGAGAGAGGTTGTTTCTCTAATTTAGTATTGTTTTATTTCCTGCTTTCATCACATAAATTATACAGTTTTCACCTTTTTGATACATACGATTTAAGATTAAACACCGTGACCAAGACCAGAACTTTCTACCATAAACCCTTTACATTCCTAAATGGTTGGATGTATTCTATTATTTAGAGTCATTAGTAGAACAAAGGCTAGGCGAGAGAGCAGAGACAACGTCAGCCATCTGTCAATCGGTTTCGACCACTGCCTCTCTGCTGCCACTGTCCTTTGCCTCCATTACCGCCATATAAAGTCCCCTCTCTCTTTCTTGCTCTATTTCTTAACGCTATCAGGGGTGTATTAAAAGAATTTCCCTGTGTCCATACGAGGAAATATCTATTTAAAGACTTTTTATCTTAGCGTTTGATAAATTCCTAAAAAGCTCTTGAATCTTAATGCCTATTAGTATGTCAGCTGTTTCTTTCTCTGTGCTCCTTTACATGACTGCATCCCTAAAACCCGTACCTCTTATCTTAGATAAATGTTTATCCAGTGTCTTTTAATTCCATACTCTTCAACTGTATTCTGTTTTTTAACACAGTATGAAGTATCCATCCAATATCCCACTGTCTTTCCTTTGCTTTTTGTTTGTTTGACCTATTTTTCTCTTCCATGTTGCTTTTTACTTGTAAGAATACTGATAGAGCTGCAGTAAATAAATGGGAAGTGACAATGAAGCAAAGAGGAAAACCTTTATTCAAACTTGTGTGTTACTGGCTTTAACATTAGCTTAATAATTTTCCTTTGAAGAACTCTCAGGAAATCTGAGTCAGTAATCTCTTCAAACGCCTCCTCTGATTTCCTTTAGATTGAAGGAGTTTTGGTTTTCTTATTCAGCGATGTCATCAGAACTTAATCAGCAAGGCTGCATTTCCTCCATTTGTTGGTTGGAAAACATTTGATAGGCTTTGAGCCAAAACTCAGCTTTATTGGTTGAGAAGAAAAGGAGAAATGCACGTCTACACTTGGGCCTCTCCCCTTTTTGTGTATACTTTGTCTCCGCTCCATAAATAGCTGTGTGTGTAGATCATAAACTTTGACCCTCAAACCCAGAGTTCAAACTGTCATGACCCGGTGACGCTCCGGGACTGACTCACAGCTGAAACAGGCTCTTTTTATAAGTGTTTTCTTTACCCAATCAAACTGTTGAATTGTGTAGACGCTGGGAGAGGAATTTGCTTTAGTCACCACAGACTGAAAATAATCTTTTAAAGAATTAGAGGCGCACCGATCAGAATTTAATGGATGTTTTTTTTTTCTTTAAGATTCTTAGGCGTGGTTAACTAACCTTATGTTGTTAGTCCTTATTTTACTCCCACATTCCGCTCTGTGTAGTTTCATCCCCCCAGGCTAGTACTTTTCTTTTTACCTTTACTTAATGTTATGGTGAATCTTTGAACTAATTAATCTCCCCTCCTCAGTCGTCTGTTTGCCATCTGCCAGCTGCTCTGCTTCACCCTCTGATTAATATACTGGCATCCAAAGTTATTCTCCATTCATCCTTCAGTATTTAAGTTCTCTGTTGGACATTATTTTCCAAATACTGTTGTTAAATCCCTGTTGTTTTGTCTGTGACCTCATCCTGTTTTCTTCTTCTTTCTTTTAAGTTCTCAATCTAAAAAAAAAACAACATTCTGCTCATCCATGTTTATGCCTGTCCCGCTACATATCCACACGACTTTACTAACTTCTGTCTGCTGCTATGGAGGGCATACAGAGCAGAGTAATGATCTGCCACTGCAACAAAAATTATCGATAAGAATATTTTCTTCCTCAAAACTGATATTCCAAGCAGTTGTAAACTGTGGCAGACAGAGACCAGAATCTGAGATGAAAATTCCCTGATTAAGAGCATAATTTAGGATAAGCAAACAGAGAAATTGATAAGACAAAGATGGTCTGGTTTTTGTATAAAAACAGAGGAGTAAGGGGAGGATGTAAGTGTTTAAACACTACATGAAGGAAATTTCTGCTGATATCGTTTCATAACTTTGGACATCAACCCGCTGTTTCTTGGGCAAAGTCACAGCCAAGCAAACACAGGCAATTATTTAAAAAAATATGGTGTTCAAAAACTATGTATTAGCCTGTCATACATTTTCAAAACAAAATCTAGATAATATCCATCAGTTTTTTGTTGTTATAGCAGTACATGTTGAATATAAACTCTCTGTAGCATTGCCAAAGAAAAGAGAGTTTCTAGGGACACCAAAAGTTACACTAAATATAGGGAATCACATAATTTGCCGAATGTCATCAGAAATTGGTGACATTCTTATATCTAAAAGTATGACTGATTATATTTTATGCCCAATTTCAATTTTTTCATTTTTTTTTTACCTGTTAGAGCTTAATATGGTGCATTCTGTGACATTTTCTTTTCATTTCTTTTCAAGGCTGCAGTGCTGTGGCTTAAAGGTTGGGGAGGCACCACCGTCTGTGGTACCCCAGCCTTTAGAGGTGTGTGGGTTACCGGGAGACAAAGAAAAGAGGGACATTCTCAGTAACACCTCAGGTCCTTTTGACGCCATGCTTGCTCAAAGGAGAGCCACAACTACAAATGATCCGCAGACCCCCAGCATGGAAAACGGCCTGAGCCTCAGCAGGAGTTCAGCCGGAGCCAAGACTGCCAGCATCCGTGATAAGATATCACAGTGGGAGGGCAAAAAGGAGTCTGCCCATGTGGCTGCTACAGGAGCATGTGTTCTTGGTACAACACAGAAGGAGGCGGACATTGTGAGGAAAAAGGAATCTAAAACATCAGAAGTTCAACGGACAGACAGCAAGAGGTTTGTCAGCTGGGAGAGACAAGACTCAGGGAAAGAAAATGTTGGAAAATCTGCGGATTCGAGTGCTAAATATCCAGAGGGGCCAGTAAGCAGCGAGAGGTGTCGAGCCTCTAAGCCCAATGAACTTCAAGACAAAAAAACAGTTTTGACTCATGTCAAAAAACTGGAGAAGGCAACAAAAGAAGTTTCCCACAAACCTTCACTTGCATTTCCAGGGAATTACTTCTGTCCTCCTTCAAAGGAGGAGCTGGAGGGAACAGAGAAGAAAGCCAATGAGCCGATCTTTGGGACTTTTGATAAGGCTCGACCTTGTGGTTTGCAGAGGAGAAGGGATTCTGAGAACGAATACTGTGAGCCTGGTGCTCCTTCTATCAACCCCCTACCTAAACCTCAAAGAACTTTCCAGCATCATACGGCATTGATTTCTACACAGTCAAGTCCTTGCTTTGGAAAGGCAAAGAGGACCCTTCCTCCTCTGCCCTCTGTTCCACCCCCACCTCTACCTACATGCCCTCCTCCAGGGGTTTGCAGGAGACCTTGGGTTGACAGAGGCCGGAACAGCAACAACAGGTAGGCCTGTGCAAAGAATATATGTGACTACAACCAGCTTTAGATTGTCAATCTTGACCGTATTCCTCCTACACTATAATCTCAGATTTAATCCAGATCCTAGAAAACAATTAGTAAACAAAACTGTACAGTAAAACAACAAGTAACACATTAGAGTAGTCAGGAATAAAGTTGTTTATATGTTTAAAGTAGGGTTAGGTTATGGAACAACACTTCCAACTGTGTACTGTACATCTCACATGAATGGAAAGAGTATGGTGCAACAGCAAACCTAGACACTGACCGCTATGCCTACAGACTGGGCAAATAGAGCAAAAATCATAGAGGCAGCAAAGACGCTAATGGCAACGCTGCAGAGATCCACTGCTCAATTAAAAGAATCTGTTGACAAGGCAACAACTGGCTTTGTGTCGTCCAAAAGATAAGGTCTTTATGAAAAAGTGGTAAGAAGAAAACAAATGTTAAGTGGATTTTATTTTAGATGGTTATCTGGTCAGATGGGCCTAGAATTTAACATTTATGGACTCCATACAGAAGACTTTGTGTGACAAAGACACAGCATCCACATGGCAAAACATAGTGGTGGCAGCATCATGCTGTCTGCATGCATTTTTTTGTAGCAGTTAGACAGGAGCTGCTGAGAACTGATGGGAAGCTGTGTCGAGCTACAAGGCAGTTCTTTATGAAAATCTATTTGAGACCACAAAAGACTTGAAATGCAGAAATTATGCTTTTTTTAATCCTCCCAAAGTCATCTATGGGCAGATATATCATCAGATATTACCTTTTGCCCCACAGATTATACAGTTGTTATGAAATACTAATTGTTTTCTGGTGCTTTTTTCAACACAAAAAATGCTCACATTAGCTAACAAAAATAACCGCTGCTCTCACTGTGCAGATTAGCTGCTAAAAGATCAGTTTTGTCTCAACTATGAACAGAAATAGTTGCTCTCTGTGAGGTAGGGGCTTCTAGGCAGGGGCAGATACCTACATACTGTAAGATGGGGATGGCCACTCGCCTCCTATGGCAAAGAGGGGCTGCTCATTATAGAGCAATAGTTATGAAGATGACTCAGAATTAATCATATTACTTTTGGTGGGATTTTAAAGAAAGAATGGTATTATGATTTAGTAAAAAGCTCAGAAAAAATTGATAATACGTGATACAGGCCCTTTAAATCAAAGTGTAGTCATGGCCCTTTCAAAGGGCCATAGGTAATCGGTGCTAAGATCAATGGATGTTTTTACAAGATGCAAACCAACTTGGCTAAAGCTGTTTTAAAGACAAAAGAGGGCAAAACTTCTGTTCTGTCTCTAACTCTGCAATGCGAGACATAGCCTAATGACATGTACCTCCAATTATAGGGAAAGCTGGTTCTACTCTGGACGGCTGGATTTGAATTCTCACAACAGTTCTTCATTTGTTTTAGCCAACTTTTAAAGTAATCCCTTTCATTTCTCTCCCTCACTTTAATTGTAAATGAAAGTCAATGTTGACCTCATTCTGTTTTCTAAATATCCCTCACAATGAGCTCAGTGCTTGGATTGGAGAGACTATGCACAAGTCTTTCCAGGAGTTGTGCATAGATATATAAACTTCAGGAAACAATAACATCAACAACAGAGTGTGTGAAATTCTAGCCTTCATTGTGAAAAAAAGTTGAGCAACTTCTTGGGCTGCAATGGATATTGCTCCTTTCTGTAGAGGTTGAATTTCCTGAAATAACGTAAAGGAATCTGATCTATAATCCAAAACAACCTTGGCAGCACTGAATTCATGTGGTTACAATCAAACAAAAAGAGTCATGCAGAGACACCAGAAAAAATGTGGATATTGCAGTATTGGATCTCAGCTATTGTTCAGTTTCTCCGGTAACCTTCATTTTTGTTGGGAGCTTGGCTTGGATCTTTTACATTCCATACCATATGTGGAGGCCTCACTCTGCTCAAGTGCAGTGTCAAAGCTTTTGTTTGCTTCAAGCATCTCCCCCAAGTGTCCACTGATCCACATGTACAAAGATGTATGCCTTTTAGGAAATTGAAATACAATATTTCTGCTTTCAGGTTTTTTTTTTTTTTGTAACCAAACTTTGTGTTTGGTTCATATCATATAAAACTGTAACTGGAGCGTGTAACAAAAGTAATTTCCCTCTAGGATTATTAAAGTATTTCTGATTCTGATTTCTGATTCTGTTTATCACGTTCCTTACATGATTATTTCGTAGCCTTTAAAATAGATTTGATAGTCTCATAGCTAAACAAATAAATTAAACCTGTTTTGAAATGCTGCATTTTATCTTAAACAACATTCTTTTTGCTGAAGTATTTTTCTGAGATTTTGTCGCATTACAATCACAGCCTTTTTCTATCATAGTATTTTGGTATAAAACAGCCCAAAGTGCATGAATACCAAGTGGAGGAAAACGGATTAATGGTTTTCATAGTTTACGGAAGAACCTTTGATCGGATATAACTATTCAGAATAAAAGGCTTATGGAAATAAAATAAGTCCTTTATTCCAAATACTTATGTCCAGGTAAACATACATAGGTTTATAGGTTGTATTTAGCTTTGGCCTAATAAGAGGGAAAATGTCACACTTATTGTTCTACTGGCCATTTGGCTTTATTGATCTTATTAGAATTATATGACCAGCTTCTAGCTGCCAAAGACAAGTTTCAATACAATAAGATGCAATCGTAACCAAATTTCGTATTTGCCCATGGTCCATTTATTGACAATTCAACATTCTCATTTGTCTTCCATGTAGGAAATACCTGTGCAATGTATGCCCATGTGGATCTCTAAAGCTCATCCACAAAACAGAACAAAACTATGGTATCTATGGTGGCCAAGGGATGAAAACATGCAGAAAAACACAATTGTGCACCAAACAAGTGCTGCAAAGTAAAAAAAAAAAAATGAAACTAACCCACAAAACAAATGCAAAGGAACAATTCTGCAAAGGATAAATGCTGCAATCACAGAAAATGGAGAGCAGCAAAGAGCAAATGTGCTGCAAACACAAAACAGCTGATACATTAATGACGATGTTTAACTATCTGGTCCAAAGTGACTTGGAGATCATCTCCCCCTATGGTGTGTAGCACTTTCATCTTTTGGAGCTAGTTTACAGCTTTTCTTAACATGATGTTGCTTTTGTTATAGAATTTTACCGTTTCCATGTGTTTGTTTTAGTTTCATGTTTTAGTCTCACTTTTGGGTTTCCTAGCCTTATTTTTGTTTCTGCACAACTTTTTGTATTTGCTGTGAATTTATACATTTGCACTGTGTTTATACATCTTGTTTACCACAGATATTTTATAATCAAAGCCTACTTTGAACTAAAACTTTATGACCAATCATCTGTCTTGCTTTATTTTAATGGCTTGTTACAGAAGGTACTCTAACAAACCCTTAAGGCCTTCACAGGACAACTTAAATTATTCACAGGTTGACTCTAATAATGTGACTCTGGAAAGCAGTTTGATGCACTTTTGCAACTTGGAGATGAAAAAAAATAAATCTTCTCTTAAAACTTTTCAGCTGTAAAAATTTCACAAATCACTTTCGTTTTTTATCAATGACATTAAATCAACAAATAAAAATAAATAAACATTAAGGTTTTTTGTTTTTGTTGGATGACATTATGCCGTCAATGGACACTTCAAAATTAATTTCTTTAGGCAAATATAAATGATTTATGGAATAGATTTTTGAGGCCATTTTCCAGTCCATTTTGCAAAGCTTCAGGTAATGATTGGAGCAACATTTAAAGGAGGTCAGCATTACACAGTATGAGAGGTATTACTATCCGCATGCCTTTCTCATCAAAGCAATAATGGTTGATAAACCAATTGCTTTTGCTTGCTTAGTAAATGCTGCACATTTGAATTGCATGATTGAATTTACTTTTTTCATGAGAATGAATAAAAAGTTGGTTTATGTTCGTAAATTCATGGCTGGCTGCTTGCAAAAGCTCTAAATCATTTCTAAATCACAGCCAAGCTGCCACCATACAAGTCCTCCACAGACCATATGGAGACAGCACAAGGACGCCTTGATTTTTTTTTAGTTAAAGGGGCGAGATTATATTAGAAACTTACTGTAACTGCTCGATTTTTGAAAAGTTAACCATAGTAAATTCAGCATGTTCCACAAATGTGAGATCTAAAAAAAACAACAAAAAAACAGCAACATTTAAACAGCTTATTTAGTTTCATTCTTATTCTCCTGACTTAATTTCTAAAAAGTACAAGTAGCCAACTTTGAGCAAACTCGTCACACTGAAGAAAACAAACCAAAAAACATATAAAAACAATGATTTATATACAGTATGATGCATCTTGTAAACATAGAAGTCATAGTTTTGATCTGTTTTTTTTTTCTGCTTGTCTGTCCCGAGTGGATAACCATCCAAAGTCTCTGTTTCGCTTTGTTCAACAGGAAGTCCTATGAGTTTGAGGATCTTCTGCAGTCGTCCACAGAAAGCAACCGAGTGGACTGGTATGCTCAGTCCAGACTGGGCCTTACATGCACTTTATCAGAAGAGAATGTCTATGAAGATATAATTGGTAAATAACCGATATTACACCTTTTATCCTCTGACATGAGACTCTAAAGTATTACCAAATGCACTTGGTAATGTTTGGTTTGGTTAAGTTTTGAAATGACGTCAACATTTCGATCTTTGTTTATATGCCAGTGGATATATGTGCAGACATGTCAACAAATTTGACCTTTTCTTAAAAAAGGCATAATATAAACATGCTTTTTAAAATCTCAATATCTATACTCTTAGTTGAATTTGAGGGAGACTTCAGTTTTATGCATCCCCACTTTATTTTCCTTTTCATGACCCTTGAAATCCTGAATGTTATCCCATTCCTCTGGAATAAAGAGCAGTATTTTATTTTTCTTTCGTTTTTTCAAAAATCACAAGATGTTGAAAGAAAGATCTGATTTAATAACTCATATAATCATGGAGAAGCAACAAGATCCCTTAATGCAAATATTGTCTTTATAGTGTTGTTTAGACTGAAGTATTTGATCCAGAGAGAAGTTTTAATCAAGGTAGTGCCCGACTGCCCGTGCAGTGCATGCAACCTTACTTAAGGTCAGCAACAGAGATGATGAGAAAGATTAACTGTCTCTTGCTCTGTTTTTTTTTCTACAATTTTAATTTACAGCCATGCTGCCTCTTCTTTATTAGAAACCGTATGTTCTTTATTTAATGTATCCAGTGTTGTTGCAACCCCACGTAGAGCCTGTTTAATTTTATAATGCACAACAGTAGCAGTGTTATGTGAGGTTTATTTCTTGACTGAACAGTCTAGAGCTAAAGATTTTTTCTCTTAGTGCTCGAAGACTGATGCATTGTCAGTTCTGAACATCTGTAATTATGTTCAACTAAAGTATTCATATTTCTTAAATTATTTCACAACTTATCACATCTGAAACTTCATTATATTGGGACATCGTGGTAGAAAAACTGAGATTGGCAGGACAAAAAAAGCACAGCCAGAGCTACTTATATTATAATATATAATATATTTAATTATTAGAAGAAATGCTTCGTCAATGTCTAGATCTAAATAAACATACGGTAGTATTGCTGTCTGTCCGGATATCCCAAAGAAGTGATTAAAGAGGAAAAATACAAAAAATGTATTCTCTAGATGTTAACGTTGTCACAGACAACATTGCAAAACTCTATGCCGTTATTCTACTGAAAGGTTTACCAAGTACTGATTCAAGATGGCTGGATGTAGATATAAAGATTTAAACTTTTACAGTTTACTTCCTATTTCACAACTATGCTCTTCTTTGTGTTAGTCATAATGTATCTGAGAAATGCATTGTAGGTTATCAATGAAGGAAAAGTTCAAGGGATATGAAAGCTTTTGCAGCTCACAGCATAAATGGAACCTAGAGATTTATTTGTTCATATTAAACAGCAACACAGAAAACTCTTAGGTTCTTTATTTCAAGAGATTAGTCTGGACTGAGTGGCTGTCTTTGTTTGCTCAAACTCACCGCCCACATCTGGTGGATAGATTGATAGAGCAGGGCACAGAGTCACAGATTTACAAAAATATTTTACCCCATATCTGCAGGGGATGACCTGCCTCCACATTAAGCATTAGCTCCTCAAACATCTTATCACAGTAAAATAAGAGCGGGGTCAGGACAGTGTCTCCTTGGAGACATCTGGAGTAGCAATCCTCTGGCAATACAAACACCACTGATATGGAAAAAACACTCATCCTCTCTGTGGCAACAGAGTTGTTGAACTTGTTGGATTTAGAAATAATTTCCAATCACTAAAAAAAAAGAAAATCTTGTGTTTTAAAGATCCACCATCCAAGGAGAACCCTTATGAAGATATTGAGGTGGATCGAAGCTGTGTGGGAAGCAAGTGTGTTTCGCCTGCGTCTTCTTCCCCCGTACCTGACACTCCAACTAAGGTATCTGATCACTAGTTCATACATTTAGCAGGAAAATTCAAGCAGTAAAATACATTACTGTCTTTCTGATCTCGCCAGCTATTTTCCAAGCCTGGATTTTACAGGCAAAACTCAGAGAGAAGAAGTTTCAAAGTCCCTGAGCTACGCAAGACCAACCGAGACACTGGCATCTCCTCTCCCTCTCGTATCAGCCCCCCCTCAACACCCAGCAGCCCTGACGACACCCCCTGTCTCTCTGGAGATCCTTACAACCGCAGACGGAGGAAAATCCCAAAGGTATGGAAGTCTGACAGCCATCGTGCAGAGTTTACGCCTATGATTTGTGGCCAAGATTGCTGCACAAGAAGGTTTGGAGCTGCTCTACTCATGCCTTTGTCAGGGGATGAGTAATAAAGGACATGCTGGGGGTGTGGGAGTGGGGAGGGGGGTGTTCTTTGGAGTGTCTAGGCTGTGGAAGTTTTGCAGTGAGGCAATAAGACATATTTTAGGTCTCATGATTTGAGTTGGAAGCTGAATGGTGGCTCACAAAAATCAAGATGAACTTTTCTTTCACTTTTACAGATGGTACTGAAAATCAATGCCATCTTTGAGGCACGTAGGGGCAAGAAACACACGAAAAAGGTGTCTCAGTCTGCTGAGTCCAGCTCAGGAAGAGGTGAGTCTTTGAACACTGTGGATACCACTTCAGATTATAAAAATACCCTAATTGTCGATGAATCTAGCAAGATTGTGTTTTGGTTGGTCTTGCTTGCAGGTTTCAACAAAACCTAAAACATACATTCATTTACTTTATTAGAAGTTAGTGAAATGTCAGTGTCCAAGGAACCTTCAGAGTTTTGGCCAAAGAAAAGAAGCTGTCCTGGGGCTGCATGTAAAAAGAGTAGAAAGCCCAAAAATGTGGGTAAACCCTATTTTCCACATAGAGCCAAACCTAAGAGAGTATGCTGGAAAACTATAAAGGACTTGAAAAAGGTTACTGGAAACACCAGACACATACTATACAGTCATTATATTATATGCTTGCAAATAAAACAGTGGATATTACACCATATCCAACATACTAAAGAAAATAACAGTGACTTTACACTTTTTTGAGGACAATGCAAATATCTTGCAAAATGTATCGTCAGTTATCTGGCCTAAGATAATTACTGACTTTTTATTAATTTTAGGTTTCCAATGTATGCCTGTTGGCAAACCCAAAAACTGAGTTTCAGATTTTATTGGACTGTAAAACAGAGTTACAGATAGCTTTGCTAACAAAACAGAGATAAAAACAACTGAGGAAGCTGAACTAACTGCTAAGGTGACTCACTTGACGTCACACTTCTTTGTCACCTTCTCCTATTTTTTCAAATACATTTTGTCACACTGACAAACAATTACTCAATAAATAATAAAATAGATTCAGAAAAACATGAAGTAAGACATTAAAAAAGGATAAGTAAACTTTATAAGAAAAACAAATATGACACTCTCCGGCTATTTATGGCTGACCAACATTCTCCAACATTGATGTCTTGCTCAGATCTAGTGTCTATATCAAGCTGAGTAGGGTGGTGGTCGACCACAGTTAAACAAATTCGACAAAAGAGTCCATAGTCCTTCTGTCTACTTCAAAACTACTGTCAGCTTGATGCTGTTTTGCAATTTGTCACCTGTGCAAAACTAAGCCATTGGCATGATATCAGCTTGTTGATATTTCACCATTCACCTTGTTGCATTTACACGTAGGAAGCCATTTTGGATCCAAATGGAGACATGCTAATAACAAATAGGAACAAAATTACAAATGTTGTTAGCAGACTTAAAGTAAGTTTACTGAAAGCTATACAGCACACTCCTGGTTTACAAAGTTAGCTAAATCCTAATCTGTGAAATGACAAATTAGTCCCACAATAAGCTGTTACTGGATCAGTGTAACCGTGCCCTCTGTCCATATACTTGCTTTAGCATGAGACTTGTTCATATCTACTTTTTTAATGTTCATATGAGAACTAAAAATCATGTTAATCCCCTGTGATAGCAAGAATGGGAAGATGAAGTTGATGCCTTTGATCCACAACTGGTATAGTGAAAATTATTTTTTTTTATCTCTCTGAACTGTAAAGTGTACTATGAGTATGAGTGATGAACATGACGTGGCAATGTGATTCAAAGAAAGGACACCAGACATTTGAATCACCATTTGAATCTAATAGAAATTATAACATATTGGTGATGGTACAAAACACACTGTCACGTAAAGTATTGATAATATTTAAACAATCTCCAGATGGCAATGTAGACTGTGGCCCTCAGTGGGACACATATGGCTCAGATTAATGCTGAAAATGGTTTGAAATCTAAAATACAGTGGCGCTTGAAAGTTTACATACCCTTCCACTAAAGACTTGGTAAAATTAATAAATAGAAATTAACAAAAATAATATTAAATGAAATTATATGTATATATGTAATGGTCAGCAAGTCAGCAAGATTTCTGCACCAGTTGACAGGTATGTTGGTTTACTGTTCATTAGCAAGGCGCTTTAATTTATTTCAATTTGTCTTTTCAAATTATTTTTAAAGAAAAATTCAAAATCAGTGTTTTATATTTCTAAATCATAATTTATCCCATTTTTATTTATTATTACCCTTTCAGTTTTGTGAAATTGGATTTACTAGTGTGCATTTGTCATGTTATTCGATGGGAGGGTATGCAAACTTTCTAACATAACTATTTTTAACTTCTCAGCTCTCTTTTTAAAGAGAGCTGAGCTTAAAAGCTTCCATTTAGGAAGCTTTTAAGCTCAATATTTTCTAAGGTTTTTTTTGTGACCTTATCTGGGCTTCGTGAAATTTTGAAAGGGTCAAAAAAATGTATATTTCCCTTCTGGTTATTCCCCAATACATTTGCATTTGTTTTGAACCTAGTTCTGCATATTCTAGTCCTTGGTTATATTTTTGATTGCACGAGGTAACACCTGTTGATATTTACTTGAAAATTAAATATGCTTTCCTCTAAAATACTCTTTTTCTTTGCTGTTCTACTGCTTGTATATATATATATATATATATATATATATATATATATATATATAGATATATATATATAGCTGTATGCCTAATTGGAATATT